AAATGTTTTAGTAAGTGTTAAATCTAGTACGGTGATAAAACAAGGAGTCCTTGTTAAGTTACTGATTACATGACCCTGCCTCTGCAAGAACTGTTCCATTCAAAAATCTTCAAAGTTAACCTCCATTATTTGGCCCATTTATGTAGCCATGATACACTATTCAAACTAATGCTCTTGTGGATGTAAAGCAAGTTCCTAAAGTGGTATTTTTATAGCAGTTTCAGCAGTTATCAGCTATACCATAGTTAAGGTTGAGCATTATTTATTTTTGTGGCTTGTGAGGCAAAGAAGTGGTACAGGTGATAAGTCCTGCATATGGTTGCTGACCAAAAGGCTTGTTCTTAGCTTTCTGGGTTGTTGGTTGTATTAATGGTGTGCTAAGTTGGCTTTGCTGGAAGTCTGGCTTTTGACCTGAGGACAATAGTGATGTGACAATAGCAGTTAAGTACTGTCTCAGCCACTTCATTATTTTCAGTTTTCCTTTTTAACGCACAATGAGGTGGAAGATCACAGGAAGTTGGTTTCTGTAAACATCAAAAATCTTGCTGTGGCTCTTAACAAAGATCAGCATATTATCTATACAATGAGATAGAAAGGGCCCTCAGCTTGTTGCTCTGAGATGTGCTGGCTACACTGGAGCTCAGCTGAAGTGTCATGGGGTAATAGGGGCCAGCAGGAAAACACCAGTGAAATACCTCAAAGGAGGTAAGAGGTGTTCCTCTAAGAAGGTGACACAGCCAGCAGACCAGCTGAAGCACCTCTACACAAATGCATGCAGCATTGGCAACAAGCAGGGGGAACTGGAAGACACCATGCTGCTAGAAAGCTATGAACTAGTTGTCACTGAAACTTGGTAGGATGAATCCCATGACTGGAGAGCAGCTATTGATGTCTACAGGCTGTTCAGAAGGGACAGGCGAGGAAGAAAGGTTGGAGGTGTTGTCCTCTACAGCAAGAAATGGATAGACTGTGAAGAGCTGTCTCTGAAGAAAACCATAAGCAGGTCAAAAGCTTATAGGTAAGAATCAGAGACTGAGGTACCAAAGGTGTTTACTACAGGTTGCTGGATCAAGGGGAGCCTATTAACAAAGTCATCTTCCTCCTGCTACAGGAGGTTTTGCACTCTCAGGCTCTTGTACTACTGGGGTACTTCAATCATCCCGACATCTACTGGAAAAGCAGCACGGTGAGCTGTAGGCAATCCAGGAGACTCCTGGAGTGTATGGAGGATAACTTCTTAAGCCAAGTAATAGACAGCCCTACCACAGGGGGTGTGATACTGAACCTGATGGTCACCAATGCAAGTGAGAGCTCATCAGTGACATCGAGATTGGAGGCAGCCTGGGCTGCAATGATCATGCACTGGCGAAGTTTGCAGTCCTGAGGTATATGGGTCAGGCAAAGAGTAAAGACTGGGACCAGTACTGTTTGATATTTTCAGCAATGAGATAGAGGGGTTGAGTGCACCCTCAGCAAGTCTGCAGATGATACCAAGCTGAGTGGTGAGGTCGATGTGCCTAAGGGATGGAATGCCATCCAGAGGGACCTGGAGAAGTGGGCCCATGTGAACCTCATGAGGGAATGACAGACCAGTCAGCTGTGCCTCAGTCCCTGGTAAGGTTGTGGGACAAACTGTTCTGGAAGCCATTTTATAGCATGTGACAGACCAAGAAGGTGATTGCAAACAGCCAGCATAGATTTACCAGTGTCGAATCCTGTGTTACCAACCCGTTTGCCTTCTATGCTGAGATGGCTGGCTATGTAGACAAGGGGAAAATGATGGTGGTGTTCTTTATCTTGACTTTAGCAAGGTATTTGACAAGGTGTCTCATAGTCAGACTGGTGATATATAGACTGAATAGTTATCTGATAATTTGGGTGGAAAATTGGCTGGATAAGCAGGTTTCAAGTGGCACCAAGCCTAGCTAGTGGCCAGTTGCTAGTGATGTCCCTCAGGGACTGATACTGAGGCTAATACCGTTTAGTGTCTTTAAAAATTACTTGAATGATGGGATAGAGTGCACTCTCTGCAAGGCTGTTGACAATAAACTGGGGGAGAGGCCGATATGTGGAGGGCAGGGCTGCTATTCAAACAAACCTGGACAGGCTTGAGAAATGGACTGAGAGGAACCTCAAGAAATTCCATGAAAGCAAATGCTAAGTTCTACAGTTAGGAAGGAATAGCCTTGTATGACAGTACAGGCCAGTGGCCAACTTGCTAGATAGCAGGTTTACAGCAGAGGGACTGAAGGGTTCTGTTCCATACCCCAGTTGAACATAAGCCAGTAGTGCACAGCACAGCAAAGAATGCTGACCATAAGCAGGGCTGAAATAGCCATCAGGTTGACAGCACAAGCTCATCAGTGGGTCACCAAGATGGTCAGGAGGCCAGAGTGCATGATGTATGAGAAGATATTAGAGAACTGGGTTTGGCCATCGCTAGGAAGAAAAGGCATAAGGGGACATACTACTGAAGCCTATTAGATGGTTATCTAATAGGAGAGTGGAAAGAGCCAAACTTTTCATCAAGGTATATAGTAAGAAGAACCAACATACACAAGCTCAAATATAGGAGATTCCAGTTAGATGGGAACAATCTTTATGTTGGGTGGTCAAACACTTTTATAGTGCCCAGGAGTTTGTGGAATCTCCATCCTTTGAGATATTCAAAACTCAGCTGCACACATCTCTGAGCAGCCCCCTCTAACTGGACTTGCTTTGAGCAGAAGACTGGCCTAGATGACTTCCAGAGATCTCTTTAAACCTATACGATTTTGTGGTTCTGTAAGTTAGTTGCTATGACCTTACATCATTTTATGAAGAAGTTCCATGATTCTTAGGGGATTATGCGAGAGATTTATTTAAGCTTTTTTTTTCCTTGGTTTTTAAAAAGAACTTTTATTGATGCACGGCAAAGTTATAAACCTGTTGGGCTGATTTTACATTTGAAATCACATACATCCTGCAAAGAAGTAAATAATTTCTTAGTGTTCTGAATATATCCATGAATTAATTCAATGTGTAATAGTTAATACCATCTTTAAAAAAGAAGGTTGTAAAGGTTTCAGACAAAGCTACGGATGTTTACTTTTACACTAAATGCAAATTTTTGTAGTCTTTCTCTCTCAAACACGTATACAGAATCAGATTTGACTATAGTGGGTGGGGAAGATTGTGTGGAAAAATCAGATAATGTAGGGGAAATGAAATATTTAGGGGCATTCAGAGCCAGAAACAGCTGTAAAAATTTTCTTTTTTCTTGTTTCTAACACTGGATCATTAGTTTGTTTTTCTTGACATTTTCAAGAGGACATCAGATTAGATTCTGTCACTGAAGTGGAAAAAATTAAGGCTATTTTAAAAAGGAAAAAAAATTAACATTCCTTGCTGAAGAAAAATTGCTGTATTAAGCCATCATTGTACAACTGAAAAATAACTGAGACTGAATATGCTTATCTAAAAAATACAAATAGAAAACTTAGTAATTTACTAGTCTGTAGGTAAAAGCTATTTGAAAGCTGCTTGACTTGCTATATATTTAAACAATCATCTGTGACAAGGAAATAAAGATGTCTGTTGACATGAGGATTACTTAAGAAGGTTAAACACAAATCGGATAAGCAGTTATAAAATTGACTTTTGCAGGTGGTTATGTTGCACTTGAGCATGATGAATTGTATCGAGCTGTGTTTGTATATAAACAATATCACCTTAACAACACTGTGGTTGGTAGCAGTAATTTTCAACTCCAAGTCTATAGGCAGTAAATTCTGGTGGTTAGAGACCTCTAGTTTCTGAAGTAGTCCAATCTAGTTTTCAAGTAATTTAAATGCACAATAGAATTGAATTTTAAATACAGAGCTAAGGCTAATAGTTGCTGGCGTTTTAGGTCTTTACTGTATTTTCTAGAGTTTTTTGGTGTTCTCATGGATAAGAAATGAAACAAATAGGAACAAAAGGTTAGGGGGAGAGTGCAAAATGATGAATCAAGAAGCTTGCTCCATGGTTTAAGGCTTATTGCTGCAACACAGTACTTGATGCTTACATCAAATAGTACAATGTTTAGAGCTGGAAGAAAGCAACTTTGGAAACAGAGCATTGGCAGAGTTATAAAGGTAAGGAAAACTGAACTTTGGACTAGGTCGAGACTAGTGACTGTATAGTTTGAATAAGGGTGTGAACTGAAGGGGGGGAGGGTGTAGAAAATGTGTTTGAAAATGACAAGTGGATGATGTTGGTTTCACAAAACATTCTTATTATATAAATATGAATAAACTTTGCCATTTAAAGCAAGACAGTATTTGTGATAGGTATTTGTCATAAGGTAGGTTTTTTTTTTTGTGTAATTGGTCTTATAAGTTAATTGGTAGGGCCTCAATCAAGGCTTAGTGGCACTATTTGTTTTGAAATGTAAATTTACACTGCAAGATACTTATGCATTTCACTACTGGTACTTGTATCTTGTCCAGATTGTTGCAGTGGTCTGGTAATGGTATAATTTCACAAATGTTATACCAGTACAATAAAGAGCCTGATGCTAGATCCGGCAGTGAAACAGGAGTGGGCTCTGCCACCAAGGAAAATTGAAGTTTAACTTCACTCTTCCCATAGTTGTAAAATGGGAATAGAATTTTGAAGACACTATGTAGCATTGAGAAACAATACCAAAATATGAAAGTCATGAAGACTCTTAGACTAACTTTAAAAACTTGTTATTTCAACAAACTGTTCCTGAGTTAATACAATGTTATAACAAATGTGGGAAAGCTCTGATTGATGTTTGAGATTTAAGAGTCAGCTAAGGGGACTGTCCTAATTCTGTAGGGTTGTGGTTTTTTTTTTTTTTTTGGAGAGGAGTGAATAAAAAGGTGTATGTCTGAAAACTGAGTGCTTGGAAAGTGTAAAATGGTTTGCAGCTTAGTTTTACAGGAGAAAGCCATGAGCAATGCTTATGCAATATAAAACATCTTAGCAAGTTAAATGAGAGACAGAGGAATGCCATGCCGGTTACACAAGTTTTGGATAAGATGGTAAATTAACAATAGAACACTCCTACTTTTTAACTCTTTCACTATTGAACTTCCCAGTAAGGTTCAAATGTATTGCTCATTCATAAGACTTTGATCTGAGCATGTCTAATTTCAGTAATGCACAGTATTCTGGCAACCAGATGCATCATTTGCTGGATTAACGGTGTTCAGGAACAAGTTTTAACTTGTGCAGTTATGACTTGCATACTAAATAACATTCATGCTAATTGTAAATAGAGTGTCTGCAGACACATCAGAAACTCCACTCTGTAATGGAGAAGTTGGCAATAGTCAATATTTGGTTTCTGGGGTGGTCGTTTCAAAGTAAGGATCCCTGGCGTCTCTGACTTCTGATCTTTTAGTACCTTCTGCTTAAATATATATATTTATATACTCTTGTGCTAGTTAGAAACTTTTTTTTATTTTAACTTAATTCCTGTTTGTTGCTTCAGATTGATGGCGTGATGGTTATGGGTTTAGGCATATGTTAAAATGGATTTAGGAATCTCTTCTTTAGTGTACTTCAGGAGAAGATGTCTACTGAAATTAGTTTCCTGCGCCAAACTTTTGGTATTTAGCTATTATGAATTTTCAGGTTTTATGTAAAGTTAAACAAGATACTTGCTATAACTAGACTAATCATCAAAGAAGGACTTTTTGGTTAATTAGCTTGGCTTTGAACTTGCGTCTGTTGTGGGACTGTGTCATGCGGCCTTTCTTACCTTCGTAACTAAGAGGAGGGAAAAGAAATCCAAAACTAAACGTGGCTGTGCTGCTGTTCTTTAAATGAAGAACCAAGGTAAAGCTGTACCATATAAAAACTTAGAAAATACTTCCAGGTATCTAAGTGAGAAAGCATTTATCTCTTGTAAATATGTTCCATCTGGATTCTCCTACATCATAGGAAAGTATAAGGAGGCTTTGTATGACCTTGATCAGAATTGCTGCTGACGCTTTTCAGGGTTTGCATGTAAGTGTTACTGCACATACCAGCGATTCCTCTCTTACCTACATAAATTACAGCTTATGTGTTTTAGCAGTCCTTCCATCTTCAAATCTTACTCTTTCAGTGTTCTATTAAATGATGCTTATTTGAATTACATAAACCTTCTTGGTTTTTGGTGGGTTTTTTTTGTACAGATTCTGTTTAGGTATCTGTATTTCTGTAGTGAACCCTGAAGGATGTAAAAATATACAAAAACTCCTAGGCCATATCACGGTGCTGGTTTGAAGCAAGATGTGGGGATAGTTAAAGTTAGCTTCTTGAAGTTCAAAGACTGAATTTTGGAACAGGTTTGTGAATCCCTTCACTGAAGTTCTGGTTGATACAAAAGAACTGAGGGCCTGAAATGCATCCCTATGCGAAAATTGGGAAGGAAACAAATCTGGAGTAGAAATGTACTTCTTCCTCCATGAGCTTTTTTCTCATTTCTGTCTGGCCGTTGCATATGGGGGGGGGGAAGGGAAGAAGAAGAGGTATAAAGCTCAGCATTTTCTTGCAATTCATTCTCTGAGATTCCTAATCCTAAGTAAAGGACATCTTAAAAAATTACTCTTTAAGTAGTATGCAAATAGAAACTGATATTTTGACTCGTTTCCAGTCTAGATTCTGATTGTTTTTAAATTAATGACTTACATTGAATGAAAGCACTGAAGCTAGGTTTCTTCTGCTTTTTTGGGGATGACCTAATCCTAAAAGTCAGGTAGAAGTGTCTTCTGACGACTGCAACAACTGAGAAGTGAGAGTTTGTGATTGGGTAACACTTCATTTGTGGAGGAGACGTTCTTAGAAATGGGAGGCCATCAAGATATGGAAGCAGGACAGGCAGGGTGTGTTCTTGAATGGCACTGTAGCGACTATCAGGAAAAACATGCACGCATCTTGCATGAAGTAGAGAGATATCCACCTGCACAATGCAAATACCTTCTAATGAAGTGACATGCGATGAATGCAAGTGAATGTCTTAATCTTCATAAAACTATAGCTTTACTATCTAGTTAATATTTCCCTGTTTTCTCTAGGTACAGTTCATTACAAGAATTCAGGTTAACTAGAGTTTTATAGTTTTGTGACATATTAATGAATGCTCTTGCTACTGGACTTAGACATCAAATATTGCCTAATGCTATGTGAACAACTATACATGATAGCTAGCTTATTTGTTATACGGCTTGAGAGGCTGCAATTAAAGGATTGGAATGCATTAAAAGAACTGCAACTAACATCAGGGTGTGACTGCCCAGTTTGAGAAGGTGCTCATGATTTCAGTCTACATAAACAGCAACTTGTAGAATAAATGCAGGCTATGAACATATCGAGAGTCATCTGTATGGGTGGAGTTGGGAACTGATAACCAAGGTAAGATGAATACCTTGTGTAACATTATATCTGGAGTTCTACGCTGGAAACACAGCAGAGTACAAAAATATTCTCTGTGTAGTTTAAGTAAAACAAAAAGAGCTTTTTGCTGGATTAAATAGAAGCTAAATAATTGGCAGAGTATTGACTGTATTTTTCTAAGTTAAAGATGCATTATCAGTTGTGCTCAAATTACTGAAACAACTATTTTTGGGATTCTAGTGTTATCATCTAGTGTGAAGCTGGTTCAGCCCAAAATAGTTCCATTTTGTATGCCTAACCAGGGGGAAAACTTCTACTCTGATCTGAGAACATGTAGGAAAGGCCAATCCTTTGATGAGATTTCACTTTTGGGAAAGTGGAGACCATGTTAGAGAATGGCAGAGGTAAAACAGCCTGAAGTACATGTACAAATTAATCTGCTACTGAATTCTTCAGGTACATCTGTGTAAAGAACAAGATTGGTATGTTTGTCTTCTACATGGAAAAGCATTTCCAGTGAATTCAGCATTTATGAAGGCATGATAGTAATTATGAGTTTACCAAATATTTGAAAACTCCTTCTGGAAGCACGAAAGATATTTACATAAGCATACAAAGTATATTATGCAAGTCCTATTGGCTCTGCAGAAGCCTGTGGATAAATCGCTTGTGCATACTTTACAGAGTTACTACATTTTTCATAATCACTGGGGAAATAAAGATTGAATTTACCACCAATGAAACATAATTCTAAATTTCTTTTGAAAATGAAATTACATTAAATTTGGTAATACACAAGCACAATAATACCAGTAACTATTCCAGAAGGCTATTTTATCTGTAATGTAATGAGGTGTATTACATATGAGAATTGAATTTAATTAGGAGAGTAGGCATACTGCTTGAAGAATGGTACAATATCTATAGTTAAGCACATTTGTAAACACTTGTGTACCTTGAGGCTTGTGGCTTTTTTTACTTCTCATTATATTAAACAGATAAAGTATGAAACCCTAGCTTCCACCAGCAGCATCTGTCTTTATTAGAGAATGCTTACATCTTCCACAAATAACAAAGATGGGTCAGAATCCTGTCTTGACTTGATGGTTGTATGTGACTAGACTGAAAAACTGTGACTGAGGACTTAGGGTGTTGAAGATAACCTGCAGAATGATGGAGCTCTACGTACAAAAACCATTTTTTTTCTACAGAGCCTTTCAGCAAATAAATAATATTCTACAAAAGACTGATGACAGAAGTTTTATGCTAAACCTGAAAACAGAACACAGGAAAACAGCTGTAAAATCATGACAGGGGTCGTTTCTAAAAATTTCATTTGAGTGTTTTCAAAACATAGATTATAAGTATGGAAGAATGTAATAGCCTTTACTGTTCCAAACAAATTTTAGAATTTTCTTTATTTTTGTCTTCAAAATAAAATGTGAATTATTTATTGTCTGCTTGGTGTTTTATAACAGCAAAAGCTCAAGGAAGAGAGGGAGTCTAAACGTGCTCGGCTGGATGGCAGGCATGTTTACTTACTGGATACCGTTGCCTCTTGTGTGAATCTGGGCAGAGCAGAAGTGGAAGATGCTATTCTTGACGGTAACCAGGTAATCTGATGAATTTGATAGTGACGATCGTAAGGTGCTTTAGAAATTGTTTTCTCCTGTATTCTCTTTCCATCTGTGTACCTTCAATTTATACATTCCCATTACAGTGCTAATATTGTTGAGAAACTGAAGAAAGTCCAGTGGAAGACTACGAAGATAGTGAGGGACATAGGACATGCAAAGTATGAGAAGCGGGAGAATAAGAGATTGAGGGGCAGCCAAACAGTAGCCTGCAGTTGCTTGAAAGAGTAGTTACAAAGATGACAGAGCTGAACTCTTCTCAGCTGTTGCAGATGATACGACAGAGTAGCAAATCGGACATCAAGGGACCCTTTTCTGCCAGGAGGGTAATGTAGCGTGGGAATTGGTTACTCAAGTGAGTTGTGGAATTTCTGTCCTTGAGGTTTTTGAGGCTCAGCCTAGGCAAAGCTCCAGATGACCTGAGCTGTTGTTGATGATACAGGAAGCTGACATCAAGATCTCCCAGATGTCCCTTCCAACATTTCTGTGATTCCATGTCATATAGGAAAAAAAGCTGTGGAGAATACTGTCACGCAAGTTAAAAAGCAGAACTTGTTTCAGCCTTTGTGCATTCTGTCTCTAAATGGGTTTCCTGGTAAGCTGTATTGCTTGAGAATAATTGTCAGATGAAGAAAATATTGGCAGCTGTTACACTTGGAAGGAGAAAAGTCTCATACTTGTTTTGACCTCATCTTGAAGGGCTCAGCCAAGATTTTCTGGAACAGCAGTTTATGTGATCTTGGTGTAACTGAGGCCCATTATTAATGGAAGAGAGATAAATGTGGCTTTCTTCCTACTGTGGTGAAGTCTCAGCCTTTTTCCTGCACTAAGCAGTAGAAATGGTACCAGCAAATGTTTCCGAAGAAGAACGTATAGAAGTAGAAGCCTTTTCTGCTGGAATATTGCTATATAGTTAGGGACTATACAAAACAATGACTCATAGATCTAGAAAAATGATTGATTAGGCCAGACTTTCAAGCCCTGAAATGCTGATCAGCATACTAGCATATGGCAATTAACTTTTTTCATAGGTCTGTATGGCCTATACATGAGATTCCTGGACTGCATTACCAATAAATGGTTTAAGGACGCTTGATGGCAGCCTTAAATTGATGGAGAACAGTGAAGTTGTCCTGATGCTTAAAATACAGATAAATAAAGGCTTCCTCGCTTAAAATACAGATAAATAAAGGCTTCCTCTGTTGCTATGATATGGAATAATTGCAGCTGTGTGTTTTCTGCTTTCAGTTAGTTAGCTGAATGGCAATAAGAATAACATGGGTGAGGGACTTCAAGGAGGTGCTCCTGCACTTCAGTAAATTAAGAAATGCCCTGTGCTCTCAGTTTGAGAGACGATATGCAGCATCTACAGTAAGTGGTTTCAGCAAACTGAAGCATGGCCTGGCTATATTCAATTGTGTTCAGAATGTAAAAATTAAAATTATTCAATTAAGTAGGTGTGTGCTGCTAAAGGACAAGGCAATTCAATCATTTTTCAGGGGGTAGTAATGGGGCCTGGTATAACTTTATTACTGAACAATGATAAAGTGATGAGTATTTGCGAGCCCTGTATGTAAAAAATCTGAGCAAGTTAAACTTTTCATAGTGGGTGATGCTTATGCATAATGATCTCAACATGATTTCAAACAGATAGAGCGCATTGACAAATTCCTGGCCTCTGGAGGTCTGCGTCATCTGATGTTCTACTATCAAGATGTGGAGGCAACAGATACAGGTAAAGCAACTTAGGTTTTCCTGCAGCATGTTATAGTTGTGCTGAGCAAGCTGTGCAGGGAAAAAGCAAATAGTAAAGCTCTTATAAACTGGGGCTTAAGGCAAGTCAAGTTTGGTCATGCTGGGACATCGATCCTTGCTCATGAAATGAGGATCGATGGAAGTACTGAAGCTTATTAGTGCACTTCTGCATATTGCTAGCAAGCAGCAGCAAGGTGCTCCCTGTGGGGCTAGGAAAGGGTTTTTGACAGTTAAAAGATGACTTTCACACAAGGTGAGCAGTGACAGGTGCTCTGTGCCCTCCCCTGCACTCATGCAACCAGTCTGCCCTGGAAGCCCTCCACATTTCTCTGCACATGACCACCCATCCAGGTGGTCCTGTTACAAGACAAATGGCCCCAGGAGGCCTGCATTGTGGGTAGCAGGGCTGTTATCCCAGAAGTCCCTTCTGCTCATATTCCCTTCCCTTGTGCTCCCATGTTACCACACTTCTGGGGGAAGTCTCCTCCTCCACTTAACCTAGAGGCAGCTCAGGACCCCTCTGACAAAGAACCTTCTCCCTTTGCCCATGGCTTCTGTCCCGGAGCCTCCAGTGCTGCTGCCATTGGCACTAGCCAGGTGCTGTGACCTCTGAGACCCTGTGACTGGCTGGTGGGAGTTCATCCCACTTGTTTACCCAGTATGTACAAGCAGGGCCTGTAAATATATCTATGTATATCTCTATAAATGTATGTGTTTATAAGTATATAAACATATACCCATATGAGTGTACAAATATGTATTTAGGTATTTTCAGTATATATGTATGTATATACCTAAAAGGTATGAAAAGACCCTTTAATATGATTGTTGTGGTTTAGCCTGGCTGGACGCCAGATGCCCACCAAAGCCACTGTGTCACTCCTCCTTAGCTGGACAGGGAAGAGAAAATACAACAAAAGGCTCATGAGTCGAGACAAGGACCGGAGAGATCACTCATCAATTACCCTCACAGGCAAAACAGATTGAACTTGGGGAAATTAGCTTAACTTATCACCAATCAAATCCGAGCAGGATAATGAGAAATAAAACCAAATGTTCAAACACTTTCCCCCCACCCCTCCCTTCTTCCTGGGCTCAACTTTACTCTGATTTTTCTCTACCTCCTCTCTCTGAGCGGCACAGGGGACAGGGAATGTGGGCTGTGATCAGTTCCTCACACGTTGTCACTGCTGCTCCTTCTTCCTCACACTCTTCCCTTGCTCCAGTGTGGGGTTCCTCCCATGGGAGACAGTTCTTCATGAACTGCTCCAGCCTGGGTCCTTCCCATGGGGTGCAGTCCTTCAGGAACAGGCTGCTCCAGCGTGAGTCCCCCACAGGGTCACAAGCACTGCCAGCAAACCTGCTTGGTGTGGGGCTCCTCTCTCCACAGGTCCGCAGGTCCTGGCAAGAGCCTGCTCCAGCACAAGCTCCTCATGGGGTCACAGCCTCCTTCAGGCATCCACCTGCTCTGGTGTGGGGGCCCTTCCACGGGCTGCAGGTGGATATCTGCTCCGCTGTGGACCTCCATGGGCTGCAGGGGGACAGCCTGCCTTACCGTGGTCTTCTCCATGGGCTGCAGGGGAACCTCTGCTCTGGCACCTGGCACACCTCCTCGCCCTCCTTCTTCACTGACCTTGGTATCTGCAGGTTCTCACTCCCCTCTCCCGCTGGAAAATGCCCATACGCATTTTTTTTTCCTTCTTAAATATGTTGTGACAGAGGCCCTGGCCAGTGGCAAACCCAGTAAAATGATATAAGCAACTTTATTAATTAAAATTTCATTGTACATAGAAAGAAAATTAAATGAAAATACAAATTCAACCACCAATTTAGAAATCTGCTGAGCAAGTTTGAACATGCCTGAGTTGAAGTGGTGGAAGTATACTGGAGAGAGTGTGAGGCAAGGGGCAAAGCTTGGAATCTAATCAGAGTCCCTGTCACACCTCTCCAAAGTGACCAGAGGACCATACGGTATGGTTGTGGTGGCCTTTGGTCTTCAGGATGTGGTGCTAGATGCAGGCAACATGGAAAGCTGGAGGAAAAAAAACCCAAAAGACCGAGACAAATCCACAGCAACATGTGCATTGGGTGAATAAGACTATGTACACTGGAGGAGAAAAAAAGTTTAAAAAAAATTAACTGGTGGTGAAGGAGAAGACAGATGAGTGTGGGATGAAGTAAGTGGGTTGGAGGCTGCCTTTGCCAACAGCTGTAAATGTACCATCACAGTGTGCAGCTTGTGCATCATCTTGTGCACCCTGCTTAGGTGAGACAGAGGTTGCATAAGAATTGTCTGTGCTGATTTCTGGGGCTGTGGTTCACAGGCTGGCAAAGCAAAAATCACAGTTACAGTGATGGCTACTAATGAGTAAAGTTCAGTGCATTTTTGTGGTATTACATGCATGTTGCTGGCAAGGGCACTTACTGCATACCGCCTCAAATACAACCTGGTTTTCTGACCCTGATGTGGACCAGCAAACAATTCTGTTAAGGCATAAGATCCCCCCCATGAAGAGTGCCTACAAGATATTTTGTGTCCCTGCAGAGCAGGAGCCTGTGCATCTCTGAGTTCACGAAGATGTACTCCAGAGCCTTAAGTGGTCGTTTCAAAGTCTGGTTTTATGCCTACCCTCACATGCAGATTTTTTGCAATGTTTTGGATGGCACTTTTCATATGCACCCTTTTCAGTAACAGCACATCTTTTCTAAAGAGTCTGCAGACTATACCACCTACTCCAGCTCCATACGTTGTGGGAATGCCCTGAAAACTGGGGTGACTGTTGCTGGTCTAGCCTCTGTCATTACCAAAGTACAAGGATAGCGCAAGTTTATATTAATTGACAATAAACCAAACAAATAAAATTTTGAGTGAAGACTGTTTTGCTGGTGACAGAACCCTTGATGTACTTCTGAGGTAAACAAAAAAAGAGACTTCGCAGGAGCTGTGGTGAAAAAGGGGAGGAGGAAAGGTGATGTGAACAAAAGGGTGGGAAGGGGACTCATGGGTGGCCATCTGGTCCCAAATAGGGTTCTCTGGGGCAGGTGGTCATGTGCCTGAAAGAAAAAAGGGCAAGCGACCTGTCACTTTTTGTAATATTTTGGATGTTGTCCTTTAACTATTGGTATCAGCAGTTCACTTTTTGATATTTTTATTGTTGCAGTGTCTTACTGAGATGTGTATGTGTGTGATTTTACTCCGAGGTAACCCTAGAAAATTAGTAACAGAGAAGTAACATGGCCAAAAGCACAATTTAAGAGAAATATTTTTCCCCCAAAGACACTGCTACTTCTTGATGACTAAACGTTGGAGAAGCATGTTCATGCTGGGGGAAGACAAAGTCCCTTGTAGCTCCCTTATTGGTTTTCTGTTTATGTTCCCCCAAAGAATTTGCTGTGGCATTGCTCTCCTTGTTTACAGAAGCACTCTGTTTCTTTTTTTGTATGTTAGAGTTATGTCTACGTGTTTTTAAGGAAAGACAGTTGATAATAGCTACTCTGAGGTAAACTGCTGACCTTTATTTTTTTTTTTTAAGCAAAAGAGCATTATCTCTAACCACATGACAGAGCCATGTAAGAGGATCTTGAGCATGAACTTTTGCTTAGAAGGGATAGAAAACAAATAAATGAATAGAAATGAAAGGCTTTTGATGTAAGAATGGCAAAATTAGATGAAATAGTTCTTATTGTGCCATTAGGACTCTGGATGCTGCATGCTGTCTGTGGGTAGTCCCATGGGATGGCTCCAGGGGCTCGGACTTAGAGATACACAAATGATGACTGAACTGTTTGTTTAGAAAACTTTTCTTTGAATAAATAATCAGTGGTTTAAAAATGCTTCTTTTATTTGAATCTATAGGGCACTTTGGCCTTCCAGCAACAGGAATGAACTCTCATTTGACAAAGAAGAAGCCTAAAGTATTTGTGACAGAGGGAAAAGATGTTGCTTTAACTGGTGTATGTGTTTTCTTCATTAGATCTAGTCTTTTTAAACCCATCACAACTGAGAATATCGATCAGGTAGGAGTTGGTGACTGCTGATCTTGTTTAAACTTCATTTTCATTTTGGGGATTTTCTCTCAGCATGTAATTTGACAGCCTTTGACATGGAAGAATGATCAAAAGGACATAGTTTGGCTAAATGAAACACAGGAAAAAAAGAAATGAATGGAAAAAACAACATTACTGAGCAGCAGCAACTTGAAGTGTATCCTTGCTGTGAAGAAACGACGCTAAAGAAAACTTATGACAATCCACAATGACAAAGAGTAATTAGTCAATACCTAAGTAGTAAGCTGTTAAATTTCAATAAGTGCTAGCAAATCTGTTAAAAAAAAAAACCAAAAATGTATTTCTTTTGAAAGCATACATGCAAATTATATGAAAAACAAGTTTTTACTGATGAAAGACTTTAAATCTATGTCAGTCTGAGGTAAACAAATCTGGATCAAGTGCTCCAGTAGTGAGGAGCACAGAGTAAAATGTAGAGAATCCTACAGCTGTAGACAAACTAATCAGTGCTAAAATAAGAATGATGGGCTAAATGATAATTTGGTGTTGTGGAAAACTTTCTATACACTTCAAAATGGGAATTTTCAAATGCAATTCCTAAGCCATCAAGTTTTAACTTTCCCCTTCTCTTCTAGGAAAACCTTAAAAACTGTATTTTGCCCAGATAGACAAGAAATAGAAGAGCAAAGGGTTGATGAACTGGCTGTCATCACCAGATTATTATTTGATTTCTCCAGATAGATGCTTTACAGTTTTATGCTTAACCTCCTAATTTTAAATATTTTTGATTTTGAAAGATCTGGCTTAGATTTTAGTCAATTATATACTATTTAACATTTGAGGATTTTTTTGCTTGTTAATAATGCTTGCAAGCTGATAATTGCAACTGAAAGATGTGTAAAGCAGACTTCTTTACAAGTAATCATATAGCCATTGCTGATAGTAGATAATACCTTAAAACTAGGAAAGACAAGTTGAAATAAAAATGATATGTCTGAAGACACATCTAATGTATGACACTTAATTTAACACCAAATAACTTGTAACTGTTGCTGAAAAATTCTTGTGGTACATTCTAATGAAGCAAAAAAATGGCTGGCAGATTCCTGTAATTTACCTCAGAAGTCTTCAGAGTCTTTTTCAGAATGTCTAAAAAGCAGATGTTCTGTGAATTATTCTCTCTCACTCTGTGTAAGGTCTCTTATGATCTCATTATATTTTGGAAGTGTTTTCAGATTTTTGTTTTCTCAGTTTTCTATGACAAACTGTGACCCTGTGCAAATTTTGCAGCCCCTCATAGCAAGAATTGTGCTGTTACTGCTTGAAGACTTACACTAGTAATTTTTGAGATGCTCAAGGCAGTAGGACTGAAATAAATATATTGATGGCATTTTTTTCTGCTTTAACTTGTATTATGTTTCTTTTACAGGAAGTAAATTTTAATATGATGAACGTAGGTCGAGATGGCTTACTAAAAAGCGTTGAGCAGTTGATATCAGGAATCTTCATTCCAGCCTTACAGATTATGGACCGTGGCTGGGTTGAACTTGGTGAACCTCAACAAGCTTCCAGTATTAAGAAGGACTTTCTTTGTTCGCTCGAAGCGTTTGTTAGTGTGCTATCAGGAACTCAGCAAAGCCTATTGGAAAAGGTAGTATGTTTACATGGTAAATAGCTGTAGAATGTCACTTGTTCTGGAGCTTTTGAATTATCTGCTGTTGTAGAACACTCATTAAAATTGCTTTCGTTAAACTGGAGAAAAAATTAAGACTTTTTTTTTTGTTGCCATCAGTAACTTGTTTAAGCCACAGATCAATATGTAACAATTCTGCAGGTGCTTCTGTTCTTGTTTGTTCTGGTGCCAGTTCTTTAGAGCTATTAACTTCTTGACTCTCCAATGGTTGTGGCCACTCTTACATCAAGAATGATTAATGTTTCACCAACAGTTGCTTTAACTGTTAATTTCTACTCAGCCTTTGTGAAGGAAAGGGCATGACAGCACAGCTGCCAGGCTGGTGAATCCTCCAGATTCTCGAGTCTGGTTTTGGCTCAAACCAATTTAATTTAAATTGAAGTAGGAACATGAAGTGAGATACCCCAAGCAGGGCGGGCAACCAGTTACTTTTTAAAGTTCCTGGAATATTTGTCACAAACATTTCAGGGTTTCTTAATTTGTCTTTTAGATCAATCTGAAGAAATGTGAAACACATGATCTAACAACTTTGAAAGGACCTTCAGATTACCTGATGGCTGCTAACAGCATAGATGCTCTTGAAAGAATAGAAGTCTGTATGAAAGGATGGACCAAACAAATTGAACAGGTGATACACTGGATAAATGTGAAGTACGGCAACATCTGCATGTTGACATATGATGAGTTTATTCCTGTTGGCATATAGCTACATTTCTATAAAGTTAGATGTGATCAAGCACTGTATTTTAAAGTACTGTAGGCATGGTTAGTGTGCTTTTACTTCTCAATGAGAAGATTATTGAGAGCTTTTTCCATCTACTAGTAAAAAGAGCACACACATGTCTTTGGAAGCTCAGTCCCCTGTTTTTGAAAATCACCTGTTTTTAAAGTACAAAACAGTTAATGATTCCCAGTGGATTTAATGAAAGCAACAGGAACACAATAATTCAGTGAATGCTGTTCTCAGTGGTCAAAATCCTATTTTGAAACATGCTTTGCAGGTTATTTGCAGAAAATGTAATTGTAATGGTGCTCTTGATATTACTCCCTCTTTAATTCAGAACTAAACAGGCCAAGCAAAATTAAGGTCTCTTATGTGAGGTGGTGGCTGAGTTAGGTAATTTATCATGGGTGATTAATATTAGGAGCTGATAAATTATTAATTAATTGATGCTATCTGTGCAGATAAAAAATATTAGCATCACTCACTAATATTACTGTATGATAAAAGATTCTTGCAGAAAATGACCAGTTGAGAAAGGAAGCTGACGACCTTGGACCACGAGCAGAGCTTGATTATTGGAAAAAGAGATTGTCGAAATTCAACTACCTTACGGACCAGCTGAAGAGCCCAGATGTGAAGGCAGTGCTTGGAGTACTCACTGCTGCTAAATCCAAACTGCTGAAGGTTTCTATTTTGAATTACGACAGATGTAAACACTAGAAATGCTCTGTATACCCTAGTTAATTTTGGTGATGTACGTAACATTGCTGGTGGGGGAAATACTGAATCATCTTTGGCTTTTGTTTTCTTTGTCCTTCCCTATTCCTCACTTTGAGCAGATAAGGTTTAAATCCAGTTTAATTTATTGAAAAAGCCTGGGAATCCCCTGTATCTAAAGGCTGATAATGTGCTGCATCCATGTAGCTCAACAGAAATAAATACTTATAAGCCTTTGAAAAGTTGGTTATTAAATCAGAAAATTGAATTCATGAACTATGTATTTAATGAAAAGAAAAATAAAAAATCCCAGTTTTTGTAAAATCTTTCTCCTGTTGTTACAGTGTCTGTCAAACTGCTTGTGAGGTCGTAACTTCTCACTTTGACATAACAAAGACCCATCACAAACAGAAAAAGATGTGAACAAAAGTCTAGGTTCATCAGAATGAGACGTGTGGAACAAATACGTTGTTCTATATTCACCAGTCTGTCAAGCAAAAATAGTTAACAGATCATGTCTATATATTTTACAGCAGCTTGACTTGACACTGCTACTGATGTAACTTGTTGAGCTGAGTGGTTGAAACTAACTGTATGTTCACAGTCAAGTTATTGAAGCAAAACAAGGACTTGTTCCCCATATTGGGTAAACAAATGCAACTGATGTAACAGATCTGTGCTTTCAAATGTGCTCAAAGGCTAATGGCAAAACAGAGTGATCTCAAAACAGTTTTTCTGAAATGTGTGGTTTTATGTTTTTTTTCTACTTTCTATTCTTAGAACTGGCGAGCATTGGATATTCGCATTACAGATGCAGTAAATGAAGCTAAAGATAATGTGAAGTATCTATATTCTCTGGAAAAATGTTGTGACCCATTATACAACAGTGATCCTGTAAGCAGAACTTTTAAATTCTTAACACAAATCTCTTGAGATAACTGAAATGAATGTATTTTGTAGGATCAATTGGAAATGACATAGCATTTTAGGTATGCATCTCCAGTTTGAGACTGTTCAGTTATGCTAGAAGTGGCCTAGGGGGAATTTCTGGCTACAAAATAAAGTACTTATTTTCTTGCTGTGGTATCGATGAAGATTTTGGTTTGATGGTGAAACTGGATTCTGTGCGATGGAAGTGAAACCTTTGTGATTTAAAAAAAAAAAAAAGAGGGGATAGTGAACCTCATACTATGCTAAAGACAAAGGCTGGGCTTTTGTTTGTGTGTTGGTGGCCAGGTCATACTTTGTGTAACTTTTATAAGGCAATTTTCAGCTTCTTGGGTTAGGAAAACATAAATATGGTTATGTAAATATTGAGGTGTAAATATAAATCACCTTCTCATACCATAGTAACAGGATAACGCTAGCATAACAAGTAGTAAACAAAACCAGCCAACTGAAAGTAAGGGATAGGAGGAAGGATTGTCACTGTCCTATTAGCTGCTGAAGTAGGTGGCAAATGGTTGATTAAAACTGGTTTTGCAACTGACTCTGCGTCATGCTAGCCAGAGAAGTATGGCAAGTAGCCATGAAGACTCAAAGATTTGACCATCCTAGCTACCTCTCCCTCTCTCCATACTTTTCTCAAAGTGAAATTGCTTCCAAACGGCACTCCGGGGCAACCACGCCATGGCTCTGTTTGTGTCCATTTGCCAGACGGTATTAGCACACTGTGTTCTTTCAGTGTTTCCCAACCTGACATTGAGTCTCTCTGCTGAAAGGTTAGTACCACACCCATACAAAAACAGAGTTAGTGAATATGCTTGCTGTTGACACTGTGCAGGGTCTGTTGAACTTGACCTGCTGTCTGCTCCCCATAGTGACTTATGCCGAGGAGGAAGCGGTGTCAGCTTCAGAGATGTTTGGTTTTGAGAGGGTGCAGCACTTTTGGTGGAAGCCATAAATGCACGGAGTGTGAACCTTTCCCTTACCGATATTTACCTGTAAAATGTTGAGAACGGCTTTGTCAGTAGAGTAAAACTCTCGTTGCTTTGGAAATCCAGATGTGGTGAGGAGCTGTCTGAAAAATCTTTGTCTGGCCCATTCATGGGCTGAAGACAGGACTGCCGGGCTTTTGAAATGACGCTTCTCTCCAAAGCGTCTAGCAAAAGGCCTATCTTGTACGCAAGATTTACTGAAAATTGTACAGGACAGGGAGTGTTAAAATGGGTGTGGCGAGTTAACCTTGGCTCTGGGCCAAGCGCTGTTGCACTGCCCCTTCTCAGGGCGCTGCAGGGGGAACACAGGATGAAAAATCTCAGGGGTTTTTCAAAGGCAGGGAGATCGCTTACTTATAGTCATCAGGGGCAAAACAGACTCGACCTGGGGGAAGGTAACCGGATTTATTAAAAGGGAAGATAGATTTGGTTAGTGAGAAACAAAGACAAAGGGCATCGCTCTCTCCTGGCCGGGGGCGTGGAGCCCCTCCCGCCCTCCTCCCGCTCTCCCCTCCCAGGGGCTCGCAGGGCCGTTCCTCACACGCTTTCCCTCAGCCCCGGCTGCCGGGCAGCGCTTTGCCCTTTCTCCCCCCTCCTTTCCCCGAGGTGCCCGGCCGTGGCCGCGGGACTGGGCCGGGCCCAGCGCTGGGGCCGCTGGAGCCGGCGGGGCCCGGCCCTGCTGTCGGCACCTGGGCGCCTGCACCCGAAGAATGGGCTACAAGATCATCTCCTCCCAGGCACTTCACCAATATTATTTTTTATGATCTAAATGCCAGTAATATAAGAAAGTTGTTCTTCATAATTTCTTTATTCAAATGAGCGTCATAAGGCTTAATGCGATCTTAGGGCGCTCTTTATATGCAAGCTTACATCAGGCTTAGCAAAAGAGTGCGCATACATACTCTTTATGAAAGTAAGTGGTCCTTTTGAAGAGGTCTTTGTCTCTATCAAATTTCGCTCACTGACCAGAATTCTTCCAGCCAAGACTCTAGTGAAAAGTTCTCCCCCAAACTGAATTGTAGAGCTTGGAGGGTGAAGTAGCACAGGCAGATCCGCAGGAGAGGCCCAAGGGAACGGAGGCAGAAATGTTAAGAAGACCGTGGTCATCATGCTCCTGCATGCCCTAATTAGGTGTTGAGCTCACGTGTGGTAACAGCAGTACTGAGCAGAGTTCAGGCTGTGTGTTTCTTTCCAGGTGTCCATGGTGGATGCTATTCCAGGACTCATAAATGCAATTAAAATGATCCAGAGTATCTCTCAGTATTACAACACGTCTGAAAAGATATCCTCACTGTTTGTGAAGGTTGGTGCTGCAGTGTGAAAGGAAATTTTCACAGATTTGTTTTTGTGTGTTGTTACTGGAGTGAGAGATGGGAAACACAAAGTGAACAAGCAATTGAAGAGGCAGCATTTTGGTCAATTTAATGCTGCATTTTGAATGCATAAAGAATTGGAAATAGCGATAAACTACTTCAAAGAACTCATTTCACTGTAATTTAGAGTTGTAAGGATTTTTTCAGACTTCTTGAGGATCAGGGCTAATCTCAACCCTTATGTGAATAGATTGAGGGACTTTTTGTTACAATGAGTTTTGCCTCTGGTGAACTGGTTTTTTGTAGAAACAGTTGTTAAATTTATATAGCCCTTGAACCTCCTTGTGTTTGCATAAAGAAGGAGATGGAGTTGGAAGAACAACCTGTTCTTTAAAACCAAGGGCCCATGAGACTATGATCATTATCTTTGCTGACAGAAGTGCCAAAGTCTTATGACTTTGTAGTCCTCAATATCATTTCAAGGTTGGTACAAGGTATTTAGGATGCACGTAGTTAATCAACAACATTTTGGTGGTATAATGGGCTGGAGGCTGGATGTTGCAAGAAGGACTGTCTGTTTGTGTGGCTGGTGTTTGGTATTGCTGTTTTGCAGGTTTTAGGCCAGTGGAGTCAGAGGTATGGGATGAGACTGAAAGAAGGGCAAGATCTGCTTTGTTTTGAAATCTCTTTTTCACAAGGTTAAAACTGCTTTTAGGTGACCAATCAGATGATCACAGCGTGTAAATCTTACATTTCAAACAACAATACGGCCACAATCTGGAATCAACCTCAGGACAGAGTTATGGAAAAGTTACAAGCAGCCATTAGACTTAAACAGGTAGGTGGGAAGAACAAGTGGAAAACAGAATATAAGGTGAGATTTAGGAGGAGTTTTCCATGATTAGGAAAACTTTATTTTATGTGAGGAAGCAATGTTATAATGAACGAAAATGAAGCACTGAAAAATACCCTATGTAATTTGGCTTTAGGAAGAATTTAATTTTAACATGTTTGAAGTAAGGTTTGTGACCCATTAAGAAAGAAGAATGAAAACTGCGAGCTGCTATGAAGCAGCATTCTAACTTCAGAAGGGTTTTTGTTCTGTAAAGTGATTTTGGAAAATTTGAAACATTATTATTTAATAAAACTGCTCAGCACATAATAATTATTTTCAGTCTCTGAAAACTGAAATCTGGGTTGTCATCTTGGATATTCAGTAAGCACGTCAAGGCCTGCTGTAAAATGGAGGGAACAGAATTTCCCGCTACCTAAGGATGGAATGTACAAATACATATATTTGCATTTCATTCATTTGATGAAATGTGTGATCCCATAACGATATTGTTGGGTTAGTTGTCAGAGACCAACTCTGACTGTCTTTATAGCATTCATGATCATTTATTGATGAAACTTCTACTTGCTGTCAAGTTAGGATAATATCTGTCTGCATAAATTTTGTGCTAGCTTTTTACTATAAGCTTGACATTCTTTTAAATTCTTCTTTGCTTTTAGGAGTATCAAAATTGCTTTCACAAGATGAAAGAGAAATTGGAACAAAATCCAAATGAAAAACAGTTTGATTTTAGTGAGATGTATATCTTTGGAAAATTTGAAACTTTTCATCGTCGTCTAGTAAAGATAATAGATGTTTTCGATACTATGAAAACCTACTCAGTTCTACAGGAGTCTAAGATAGAGGGATTGGAAGGAATGATCACAAAATATGAGGTACACAGTAAATTTTGGATATCCTGTCAGTCTGACTTGAACTTTAAACAATGAATGGTTCTGAAAATTAGATAAGTGTCAAGAAAAATTAACTCTACCAGTTGCACGAAAATTACTGCATAACAGTTACTGATGTAAATGTGTGATTGCTGGGGAAGCGAGCAGACAAGATGAAAAGGGATAGGTGGACATGTGAAAGAAGTATGTTAAAATCAAAGTTGATTGAAAAAAGCAACAAAAAGGGGGGACTTTGTAACAGCAGTAATTGGAGCCATGGTTTTGTGTTACAATCATGAGAAAAGAGTGAGAAGTGCAACATTTTCTGTCTTTAGAAATGTTTTGTTAGCTGTGACCAAAATTGCAGACTGTCTTCATTTCTTGCCTGTTATTCTGGGGGTACCTGATCAGTGCCTGCCACTAAAACCCCAGAAAAAGTGGACTCTCAGATTTACTTTGTTTCATTAAGGAAACGGCGAGCTTAATTCCAGCAAAACGGATTATTAGGTTTACTTAAAATCTGTACCCTATGTCAGAAGTACAATCATCAGCTTTGTGTTTTATGAGGAAAGAAACAGTTAATTCACAGATGGCTATCTTTAGAGTGAGGGAGGAAGAGAAATGACTTAGGTGGTTTGCTCTAGGAAGTTCAAGTTTTGTCTTTTTCTTTTGTAACAGCAAAATCCCTTTGCTTGTTAGTATTACTTTTCAGGTTTCTTTGCTGATCCTTTTATTTAGTAGGAGTGAGACAAGAACAAGGAGCTCTTCTAAGAATATAAATATGCTAAATCACATTCTTTGCTTGCCTTCTTTCCGAGATTAACTTTCTTTTCTAGCAAGTAGAGTATTCCCTGCTTTTACCAAGCCTGAGTTAACTTAGCTTATTGTATGTCTGTCTTAGTGCGGTATCATAATGATGGCACTTGTAAATACTAAAATAAATCAGAAGTATTCAAGGTGTGGAGTTTGTAGACTGCTATTAGAGGTCACGTGATACAGTGGCAATACAGGCAAATGTGGCATTCTAATTTGATTTACCCTGCCCTTTTCCTTTTTTGTCATGGCCATAAGTCACTTAGCTTTAGTTAAATAACTGTAGGGTAAAGTGTATCGATTCACTTCCTCTTGCCACTCAGGGTTTTGATTCCTTGACTGTATCCTTCACAGTAGCCAGTTTTCTCCTTTGTTCGCTTCTGTACTCTTCTGAGAAGAAACCTGGGCACAACTGGAAGGCTACCTTGGTCCAAGACTATTCCACACGGGCAGGATAAGTGTGGGCTGCTCTGAATTTTGCTCCCTTCGCTGAGAGCTGCTCGCTTAAGCTGTGCCAGCAGGCTTCTCTGCAACTCAGGTGCTGAGAATTTTCAGGTCATGCTATGAAGACAGTGTTTTGGTAGGCTGGAACACAGACATGTCATTCATTTGGGCATTTGTATTTGAAAAGCTGCCTGTGACCATTAGCCCAGCCTGTGATGCAGTCTGCAAACTTGATACAGATATACCTCATTATCCATTGCAGCACTCAAGTCCTAAAGTAAGAGCTTTGTGCTAGACCTAGTTTCTGTGAAGTCAGTTTCGTTTTGGGGGGGAGAGCATAGGGGGAAATTATGCATGCTTATATAGAACATACTACACGGAACGTTCTGGACAGTATGCTTAAAGGGCGGAAAGTGATTGTATTTTTCTAACAGTGACAAAATTGAGATGCTGCAGTATATGACATGGACTATAGCTGTAGTTAGGTGTCTGATTATATGACTTGAAAAGTTTTTACAATAGGAAGTTATTATGCTGCAGTTCTTTATCCTTTAGTACTCAGTTGCTGTCTAGGATTTGCTTGTTTTTAGAGGAAAAGATGGATTTTTTATTTACAGCAAAGCAATAACACTGAAGTTCAGTTGACTTGTAATAAAATGGTGGAAATCTACTATGCTGAAAATATGTTGAGCTTCATAGCTGTACTGTGGTAAAGTAATAGGATGTCGAACAGTGGTTCATCATTAGAAATCCTTTAACTGTGTGTACAGCTCAAGGGAAATACTGGTTATGATGCACTTTTGTTTGGGTGGACAGCAGCTATGTAAGAGAAGCCGGGAATAAGAAGTCCTGGGCTGGTGATGTGCTGCATCTCACTGTGCCTTTGAATAGTCTATTTTTCTATGGAATCAATTAATTTAAGTACATGGTAAATACTCATGTGAAAATATTTTTCTGTCTTGAACTTTGTTAACATTTAAGTAGAAATAATGAACCTCTGCATGACAAAATATTTAATGGGTAACAAATGTCTTTGATGAAAAGCAAGATTCTTAATTTCCTGTCAGTTCTAATTGGCTTAAACCAGAAGTAAAGAATATAAATGAAATTCGTATGTCCTCTGCACCAATTTGTTTCCTGGAAATATGTCATTTAAGTGGTTTGCTTATACTGCTCAGCAAATACTAGTAACGAGTGGCAAAGGTAAAATGTGAACGTGCACAGCCCGTTGCGTTAAATATTTTGGTCTGGTAAGTGTTTTTAAGACTTCTTTTTGGTGATAATTTTCTTTTTTCTATAAATCTGTTTAGAGCATTGTTGATGTCATGAAGAAAAGACATTATAATTTCTTGGATCAACGGAAGACTGATTTTGACCAAGACTATGAAGAGTTTTGCAAAGAAATAAATGATCTTCATGTACGTTTTATGATTCAAATAAGAATGTAGTTTAATGATGAATCCTTATGAAAACAAAAATACCTCTATCCCTTATGAAAACAAAAATACCTCTATCTGAGTTACCACCAAACAAATTATGCAAATCTCAAAGGCTGTATTCTGAAATTGAAAAATTATTCTAATGTATCTCCACTTTAAAGCTTGCATTTACTATCTAACTTTCAGACCAGTTTCATGGATTAGGCCAGAAAGGGCCTTGATGGCCTCCAGTAAAAGGATTTTTCATTACCCTATTTGGAAGTTATGATAGCAGGAATAGCACAAAAGTGGATGGTTTCATTGGGTGAATGGCAACATAGCACAAATAAATCAGATAAACTTTTCCATAGTTCTGAACTCACAAGTTAATGGAAGGAAAGGGTGTGGAAGAAAGAAATTAAAATAAATGTTTGGCTCACTTTGGCTGCCAAAGAAGTAAGCAAGCATTCTTTGAGGGCTCTCAGCATGGTGGAACATTTGAGGGTACACAAGCTTTTGTTGGTTGCACAGCTACAGAGGGAACTTGGATAGAAAATGCCTTGAAAGTTGGTTGTACTTTGTTTAATTCTTGAGGGAAGGAAGAAAGGGAAAACTGATACTTATTGATGTTAGTTTCACATAAGCAAATTATGTTCTAATATAGTGCATGATAAATCCTGTCAGATAACACCTGGCATATTCGAGGCTGCAGAATTATTTGCTTTCCTTTAGGATCAGTTAAGGATTTTCATGGATATCACTATTGAAAATATTCTGAACACTGACAGAGCACTGAGTATGTTGAAGAAATTTGAAAGGTACTGTGTCCTGTCTAGATTGCTAGAATTCTGTCAGGCAATGGGAATAACACTTTGAGGATGGTGGGAAGTGGGGGGAGCAGAACAGGAGGCATCTCCTTAAATACAAACAAAAACCAACTCAACCTCCTCTCACTCAACTGTTCAACTCTGTTAAGAGATGTCTTCTCAGCAGTGTGGATAAATAAAAACCATGTTTTTGTATCGGAAAATGCAAAATGTAAGTGGGCTTTGAACTTCATCTTTCAAAATTAGCATAAGTACAGGAATACTTTATGGCTATTAGCATATTTGCCTTAGCTTTCTCCTTGAACGATAACAATCTGTTACCACAGTGCAGTTAGGAAAGAGTAAAATGCTTGTATTAGGAAACAGTGAAATTTTTCTTGATAAATTCACATTGTTGCAAAGCAGCCTTAGTCTTTACTGCATCAGTTTTCTTATAATATTCTGTTTAATGGAGCAGACTGCCAGTGGCGGATTGGTTACAATTTGCTGCACATAATTTTAGCTCAGTGTTTGAAAACAGTGACAAAACAGAGAATGTGTAGGCTTACTTGGAAACTTTTATCATCTGATCTAAATCTTGGTTGCTTGGAATCAGGTTGTGACAGCATTTGTTCAAGCTTTAGTGAAAACTCTGCTGCTAGAGTAGTTATTTTCTAAAGAATGCAAGGGAATCTGGAACGACTGGATTTTCCAACAATGCATCAAAAGAATTTCAGAAGTGTTGGTGGAATTTTTCTAATGATTATTATTTTTCCAAGCAGATTACAAATACTGAATCTTGGCATTGATGAAAAGTATCAGAAAATACTTCAGAACTATGGTCATGACATAGAAACTGTGTGTAAGATCTACACTAGGCAGAAGCAGGACCCTCCACTAGCTCGTAATCTGCCTCCAATAGCTGGTAAGATCTTGTGGGCACGCCACCTATTCCATAGGATCCAGGAGCCCATGGAGTCTTTCCAGCGGCACCCGGCTGTTCTGCAAACACCAGATGGCAAGCGCATAATCCGCAACTACAACAAAGTAGCAAGAGTTCTAACGGAGTTTGAGGTGGTCTACCACAGGGCATGGCTTCAGCAGGTAAACCAGCTGATTTTGATTAGGATATTTCTTTAAAAAAATGTGGTGGATTTTTGTTGTTGGTAGACTAATAACACCTAGCTTTGCAGACCAGATTGCATTCCTGTTGTTTCAGGCTGCAGTGAAACACTGGGTTACAGCTGTGTGAAATAATCTCTGGTTAATAGCAGATATGCTAAGATGTAGATTTACGATGCCCCTTAAGTGAGGGGGATGGAATAAGAAAAGGTACTTTATATAAGAAAGTGTTTCTATTAATAAACAGTGCCTGTACTGCCTGTGGCTGAATTTAGGAGCAATTGAAAGGCCTTCATTAAACCTAAGAGGTTATAATGAAAAATATTTATTATAGAAGTGTATAATGAAGATTAAGTGGTAGCCTTAGCTGCCCCTCTGTCTCTGCCATACCCTACTGACTCTAGTGCAAGAAGATCGTGTGTGGCGAGAGGAGTTTTGTCAAATGTTAAGCTTAAGGTAAAAGCGGACACAGAGGTTTCCTCTGGTCTGGACAATATAGATTTGGTTTTTGAATGATAATCCATGGGTACACTCTGAGTGAACGTACATGTAAAAAGCATGCAGTCTGAACAGAGAGAGCATCCTGTAGAATTAATATCATACTCAGTGCAGAAATGTGTTTTGAGCCTGTTGTGGTTTAACCCTGGTAGGCAGCTAAGCACCACACAACCGCTAGCTCACTTCCCTCCTGCTCACCCCCAGTGTGACAGGGAAGAGGAAGGGAAAAGTAAAAGCAAGCAAAACTGTGGTTTCAGATAAGAAGTTGTTTAGTAAGTGAAGGAGAAGTGGAGGAAGAGAGAAAGAAAACAAAATAAGTGTTGCAAACACATTTACTCACCACCTCCCATGAGTAGACCAACGTCTAGTCAGTTCCAGATCAAAAGGTGGCTACCCTCCTCAACCCTTGTCTCTCCCTTTTTATTGCTGAGCATGATGTTATATGACATGGAATATTGCTTTGTTTTTTTTGGGACATCTGCCTGTTTTTGTCCTCTCCCAACCTCTTGTGCACCCTGCGTTCCCCCCCCCCCCCCCCCCGCTTTTTCCCGTGGGGGGCGGGAAACAGAGAAGGCCTTCATGCTCTGCAAGCACTGTTCAGCAATAGCTAAGACATTAGTGTGTTATCAGCACTGTTTTGGTTACAAATCTAAACCACAGCACCATACAAGCTGCTGTGAAGAAAACTCACTCTGTCCCAGCTAGACCCAATATGGAGCCATTTCATTTCCTATCAGCCATTTGGTAAGGCAGAATGCTTTGTAGTCTGAATGTTCTTCAGAAAACATTGTTGACCCCAAGTTCTAAATCTCGTTGACTGATTTGCCCACTTAGGTTTTGTACATGGAACCTCTGACTGCCTTCATATTGTCTCATATTATCAGATGGCTTTTGCAGGGACTACTTTATAGCCTTGAAATCTCTGCAAGTTGCTACTATCCTTGTCAAAGAGCATGTTGTAGAAAAATTGGCTTCAGCCTCTCAAATCTCAAAAAGAAGGGTCAGAATCTCCAAATAACTGTTTTGAAGGTGGTGGCACAATTAGCAATGCATCTACTTCTTGTTCTTGGAGCTCAGCTCCAGCTTTTGTACAATGTGAAAATCTCTGGTGCTAACAAACATCAGTCTTCTCAAAGCAATTCTTACACCAGACCTGAGACCAGAGGTTTTTGCTGTCTCTTGTCCAGTCTGAAGATTTCTTGACTCTTCCTTCCACCTTCGTACTTGCATTGCCTTGAAGTTTTAAAGGATTATCAGATTTGATTGTCTGATACTGTAAGTGGGAGTGTCTGTGTCAATTTGGTATACTAAAACAGCATAAGTGACTACGACATTAGAGGTTGTATAACGTGCTGTCTTCAGACTGCCTTGGCTCTAGTGCTGGGTACACGTTACTGATGATTAATTTGGTGTTAACTGCCAGTTGCGAATCAAGGAACCCAAAGAGCATTACCACGACTGTTCTTTCATTATAGATTATGTTTCAGGTACATCAAATCTAAGTTTGGCACTACTGACCTCTGCATAACTGGTCTTCCTCCCAGGCAATAATAAAAATCACCGTTGTTGTACTTAGAAATGTCTTTAACTTGAAGTGCTTATTCTGGTAACTTGAGAATCATATTATAGAATCATAGGTTGGAAAAGACCTCTAAGATCATAAAGTCCAACCATCAACCCAACACCACCATGACTGCTAAACTGTATCCCAAAGTGCCACGTCTACACGTTTTTTGAACACCTCCAGGGATGGTGACTCAACCATCTCACTGGGCAGCCTGTTACAATGTCTGACCACTCTTTCAGTAAAGACATTTTTCCTAATATCTAATTTAAACCTCCCCTGATGCAACTTGAGGCCATTGCCTCTCGTCCTATTGCTAGTTACCTGGGAGACCACCACCTGCCTCACTACAACCTTCTTTCAGATCGTTGTAGAGAGCAATAAGGTCCCCCCTCAGCCTCCTCTTCTCCCTCAGCTGCTCCTCATAAGACTTGTTCTCTAGACCTCTCACAGCCTTGTTGCCCTTTTCTGGACATGCTCCAGCACCTCAATGTCTTTCTTGTAGTGAGGGGTGAACACAGTATTGGAGATGCGGCCTCACCAGTGCTGAGTACAGGGGCACGATCTCCACCCTACCGCTACTGGTCGCACTATTCCTGATCCAAGCCAGGATGCTGTTGGCCGCCTTGGCCACCTGGGCACCCTGCTGGCTCATGTTCAGCCGGCTGTCGACCAATACCCCAAGGTCCTTTTTCACCGAGCAGCTTCCCAGCCACTCCTCCCCGAGCCTGTAGCGTTGCATGGGGTTGTGGTGACCCAAGTGCAGGACTTGGCATTTGGCCTTGTTGAAGCCCAGCTTTGATTTCATGAGCTCTTACCAGAGAGCTGGTGTGGTATGTGTATCCCTCATGTTTTATGGAAGAGGAATTGTGATGCTTCAAGAAGCCTTTGGCATTTGTTTTGTTTTTCTGTCTGAGTGGTTTCTGTTTTGGTGCCAGTACAGTGCTGGATACCTGCATCATTCCAAGTATACTGATGATATCTTTCACTGAATTGTACCTGCTGCTGATATCATGTCCTTGTCTGGGCACTTTTAAGGTATGTTCCCTGTCTCAGCTATAAAGACTAAGGAGGATGGTATGCTTTTTGTTGGGCTACACCTGTCTCCTTTAGCTAGATGATCTAATGATCAGATTTTCAGACACGTACCATACCTTGATGGAGCAGTCAAGTACTTTCTCCTTTAATCTTTTGCAAAATGACTGTAACATCCAAGGCATCTCCCTTGAACCTGGTGCCTTTCTTTGTGAGGTCCTAGCGATCTGTGATCTAATTCTGATCTGTGCTAAAAGTAAGCATCTGGTTTCTCCTATGGCAGAGTCAAATTGCACTTGGCAGCCATATAAACTTGCTGAGCCTCCTCCAACATTATACTCATTAGGTGGAAACAAAGGGACGTGGATTTGAACACAATTTCAAGTTGCTGAAATGAGCATGCATGCCTTGAAAATGCATGAACAGTATATCCACTTTAACATCAATGCACCTGTCTACCAGATATGGCAAAGCATATGAATACTGTTCAGCAGTCTCTTCTCTCTTCTGGATGCCACAAAGGCGCGGGCGGATGTGGACATGAGTAGCACAGAACACAAGGTGGAGCTCCTGCTCTACGCCTGAACAAAAGAGAAATGAGAGGGGGCAAGTGTCATGTGGGGAATACAAATGCAACAGAAATAGGGCTCTAGTTCCTACTAGTTTTTATTCTTCTATACGGTGGAAATAGTTAAGCTTAGTGGCACTTTCTGATATTTCCAAACTTCCCCCCTCCCCGTTTGCCTGTTTGTTACTGGATGGTTACCACATTGTTTATCCACCCATTTTAATAGCATAAGATTTAAAGCCATTATTTTTGTGTTGTAGCCAATGATGTTCAACTTGGACATATTAAAATAATAAAATACTGGGAAGTATGAATTTTGCTATAATTGTAGGACAGTGTAAGATTTGTGCCTTCAATGTACCCCTTATTTTTGTTATCTTAATAACGAAAATTGCATGGAAAAAAACACATAAATGGGGGAGTAAGAGATTAATAGTGGGAATAAGAAGTCTGGAGTCCAAAACAGTAAGATTTGATGTTGAACTTTGCAAAAAAAAAGAATTCAGCTCCTATTCAAGGCAGCTGTGCTGAGTGACTTTGATGCTAGTGGATAGAGCATGAGAACTTCACTGATGAACCTTGATTAGACGTTTTATTAAAAATGCTGTGTAAAATGTCATGATAACACAAGATACAGCTGAAGCAAGAGTATAGTCAACTATATTTTAGACATTGAAAGGGGGTGTGAATTTTCAGTATGTGTTCCATAAAAAAAAGAGTATACTGAAAGAAATCAATATGCTGTAGAACTATTGCTTAAAAACAAGTTCCATCTCAATGTAATGTGATACCTGAAATATGAGAAGTGAATAAAGAACAATAAAATTATGTTAGCAAAAGGATGACTGGAAAATAGGAATAGCAGCAAAGTTTTTCACTTAGGAAGGATTTCCCTACCTAAGGCATAACTTCTTTCTTGTATCAGCCAAATTTTCCTTGTGTCAGTCTTATGAATGCTCTCCCTTCTAATCACGTGGAGAACAAAAGATATTCTAATATTCAAATAAGGCAATTAAACCAATAGTGTGATTAGGCTTTCCTTTGAAGAATTTTAAAAAACCCTATAATAAATATTGATTTTCGTCTTTTTAAAATTTTGCCCAGAGGTTAGACATAATTGGGAGTGCCATTAAGATTGGCACATGGTATATATGTTAGGTAGTGGGAAACATGCAAAAGAAGAAAAGAGGATGAGTTTATTCAAAAGTTATCTGAAGAAGTTATCCAAGAATTATTTAGTACATCAAGGAGGTTGTGTGCAGCCTTATTGCAGAATATGCAGTAAGTTTTCTGGAAATGAGAGTTCAGATTTAAGAGGATTGAGGTAAGAAAGTCTATGGCTCTGCTTTTGATGTTGCACTGTAGAGTGCAGCTTTTTCTGCTGGTTCTTGGATATCATAAGCTGCACTCTACAGTCCAACATCCAAATGTCTATTGGATAAAGAACAGTTAATTTGATTGTTAAGCATTTGGGTACATACAGGTTGTGTTCATAGAGTTTCATTGTTGATTCATACCATACCAATCTTCATTGTCAGCAGTACCTGATTATAGTGTCTGCCAAAGTGACATTTATGTCCAAAGCAATGTATTTTGTTCTACTATCTTATCTGATCAGGAATCATGACTTTGTTTCCTGCAGGTTGAATTGACTAGAAAAGGACTTCAGACATTTCTTTTGGTAAAAGCTCCAGAAACAGGAGACTTATTTGTGAATTTTGACCCTCAAATATTAACTTTAATCAGAGAAACGGATTGCATGGCTCACATGTGCCTTGAAATCCCACCATTTGCAAGTATTATTCAGGAGCAGAGAGACTGGTATAAGAAGATTGTCAACAATCTGCACGTGGGTTTATTTTAGTTATTTTATGTATGTGTATTGTATGTTAAGATGTCTAGGTTCTATACAAATGGAAGAGAAAAAACAAAGATCAATGATTATGCTTTCAGAAAACATTGGCAAATCAATTTTTTATCTTTGACTGACTTGAGGCACCTTTAAAACTAATTTCTTGGCTTTGTTTTCTGTGAAGTCACTTCAAAGATGTGTGGCTTTAGGGAAGCTCTGCAGAGCTTGTGAAAGAGATGAAGATGGGGAGAAAAGGACGCTTATCAGAAGCCTTGCTCTCTTGCTTGCTTCCTAAATGATAAGCAGTTTATCTCTCATCCATTAATGGAGTCAGCATCGGATACATGTTGTTTTAAGAGGATAGCTGGACGGGAGGAACAGGTGATATGCCTTCCAAAAATGTAAAGCATCCAGCAAGAAGCAGCATAGTTCCTGCGCCAGTGTTTTACACAGATGTCTGTGGAACAGCTTAAAAAAGAGAAGCTAAAACTTCCATTTCTCTTGTCTTTTAAATCCCTTGGATCATTTTGTCTGCGTATGAACAGACAAGGTTCTTGATGACTCAAGATGAGAATTCAAAAAACTATAGCTTCAAAGGGCTACTTGATTCTGAAATGAGAAAAAAAATGTCATATTAAGTCATAAAGTTATTGCAAGGATTGTGTTTTGCAAAATGTGTGAAGCTAGATCAGCATGTTAAAGATGCATTAGAAACTAAATACCATATTAATGTTCTGATAAGGCTGGTCTAATAAAACTGATGCAAATTTCACTTAGATTAATGGTTTTCCTTGGGCTTTTTGTCTCCTGGAACATCCATTTAGAGACTGGTATTTGCAAAGCTTTTGCTATGCTGTGGTTTAACCCCAGGAGTCAGCTGAGCATCACACAGGCACTCACTCCCCACAGTGGGATGGGGGAAAGAATCCGAAGGTTAAAAGAGAAAACGTGGGTTGAGATAAAGATGATTTAATGGGGAATGCAGAAACTGCATATGCGAGCAAAGCAAAACGAGGATTTACTACTTCCCATCAGCAGGCTGATGTTTAGACACCTCCAGGAAAGCAAGGCTGCATTGTGGTCACTTGGGAAGACAAATGCCATAGCCCTGAATATCCCCCTTCATTCTTCTTCCCCAGCTTGTTTTTTTAAGCGTGATGCCATAGGTATGGGATATTCGTCTGGTCAGATGGGGTCCGCTGTCCCAGCTGTGTCCACTCTGAGCTGCTTGTGTGTCCCCAGCCTACTCACTGGCAGGGCGGTGTGAGAAGCAGAAAAGTCCTCAGTGCTGTTATGAGCACTGTTCAGCAATAGCCAAAACATCAATGTGTTATCAACACTGTTTTGGCCACAAATCTAAAATATGGCACCGTATGAGCCACTATGAAAAAAAATTAACTCCATCCCAACCAAAACCAGTACAATCTACAAAGATTAATTTCCATGTGAAGTAGTGCTTACATTATTATAAAGAGAAACAAATAGTGAACTTCTGCCAAAAATAATGAAAATATTTCCCAAACAATTAATTATCATTTCTTAAGAATTTCAGTGATGTACATCCAGAGGAATTTTCTTAATTTATGGTAAATATGTGTATGTGAAGAGGTTCAGATCAGTGTATATTAACTAATGTTTTCATTCTCTGTTTTTTTCAGATGATGCTGGCAGAATACAAAAGAATAAAACTGAAAATACGACACCCTATTGAACAACTGATGGCTCCTCGGTTAGCAAATGTAGATGATGCTATCCAGCCAGGTCTAATGTTACTGACCTGGACATCCATGAATATTGAGAAGTATATTAATATGGTCTTCTACAAGCTAGGTAGGTCACCTGCCTCCTTCCACTAACTCCTGCTTGTTTGTTTCTATACAAATGAAGGCTGTATCATGAAGCTTACTATCCTTTATATGATTTGCACTTAGTTGACATAAACATGAAAGTAATCAGAATTTTCACCTGTCCTGTACTTTGTGAAACCTCTGCTTTGTAATACTACCTTCCTTTAGTCTTACATATCTGTCAACTTTTTGCTAATATGGATGGGATGGTGGTTAGGATTAAGCCAAGCATAAAGTGGTGTGCAAAACGTCCTACGTATTCTGAATTCAGAGAATGATAGCTACTTTTTAAAAGACCTCCTAGATTTTGGTCTTTTCCTGATCTTGCCTTTTGTTTCTATAGTATACAAAAGACATTCTCAGGGAATAATATCTCAGCTGGGTTGGCACTGTCACCACTCAATACCTTTTCATATTAGTCTTTTTTTTAACTGTCACCGCTCAATAGCTTTTCATATTAGCCTTTTTTTTAACATCAGTCTCTTTAAAACTAATGCACACACATCTTGGGCAACAGCTTTAGATGAGCTGGTAGTCTTTTCAAAAGTTTATCGCAAGATTGCACTGAAATGCATATTGTTTCTGAAGATACCAAGTTCCTTTTCCTTCAGCTTAATCACTACATCAAACAGATTTTGTTTTTGGAATTATGTAAGTAGTTATAGTGGGAATTTTCTTTAGTTGAAATGAAATAAAAAAGCATTTTGGATGCTAATTTGACATTACACTGAATTTAATTTTGAATAGTACAAGTAGTTTGAGTCTGGAACAGGCACCTCACTGCTATTTCAATTTCAGCATTGAAAGCAAATTTCTATTAAACTGTGAAAATTCTAGTGATTGTTTTCTGTTAACTATTATTTGGCTTCTAACATTTTTTTGGAGGATGGACATTTTATTAGTCAAAAGTTTCTGTTGCTGGTAGGTTCTCCAAGTGGTAACTAGTTCAAGCTGTAGGAGAAGTATTCATAGACCTCAGTTGAATTTTAATGTCTTTGTGTTTGAAATGCACATACTTAAGCTCATTTTATACATATTTATAATACTTTGCCTATTATCTTTTAGGATGTGGATAGCATATGCTAGATGTGCATATGTTATGCAAAAATTAATTATGATTTCAGTGCTGAACTTTGCCATAAAAGTTTAGATATTTGAAGTAAGCTGGTTAAGGTGTAGAATTAATATAAAATCGAATATGATTGTTGAATTAAAACTTTAAGCAGGACTCTGCAAAGACTATTGTTTCAAACTTGAATTTGTCTTGAATCTTCTGTTTGCTTCAAAAGCTGGGCTGGAGTTATTGGTTGATCGAGTGAATGACTTGGTTGAATTTCGTATTGATGCTGTCCTTCAAGAAATGAATAGAGTGCCACTCTGTAAGTTGCCAGAAGATGAACCACTGAGCTGTGAGGAATTTCTCCAAAAGACTAAGGTTATTAGATAAATGTTTCATATAGAAGAGTTCAATGACTTTCAGTTAAGATATTTTCCCTTTTCGTGAGATAAAAACAGTGCAGAATTAATGAAGCAGGAGTGGGGAACTGAAGTAAGGACATCCCCACTTGCTTGGCTGGAACCTTAAAAAAAGAACAAAAATACCAAATGCAAAGAGATGTGAACTGAGATGTTCTTTTCTGAGCCTATTAATGTCAAGCCAACTACTGTATATTTCTTTAGTGCTTTGTTATGAAATGTTTTGAAATGAAAGTTTTGTTTCTCTTAGCATACTTAACTTTTTGGCCATTCCTCTTTTGTCCATTGTAACAGCTCACCCTGTTGTTAAATATAAAGCAAAACTTAAAATATTTTATGGAATGAATGGTATTTTGTAAGTATCACAATCCTTAGTTTTTGTTTGTTGATCCTGCTGCTGCTTTCCTGGTAGGGCTGGCACTAAAACATATATTCACTAATTTAAAAATATGTGAGAGTGAGCATAAAAAACTTCTCAGCACTGTGTGATAATTGATTCTGCTTAATGTTGGTCTTCTGCAAGAAAATTTGAACTGCTACATAGCAATTACAATACTGCAACAGAAAATCCTTTTGAGTTAGCAGAGTAAGTGGTATACTAACCCCAGTTATGGGCACAATGAAAATAGTAAAGGTATTTGTTAGATTATTGTGGTTTTTAATTAGAAGGGACTAGAAATAAATTCTGTCACCTGACAGGTGTCTTTAAGTTTTTAAAGAAATTGCTGCAACAAAAATATACTGTGGAAAAAACCTGAAGTACTTTGATCAGTACTCGCTGTGATACTGCAAATCACATCTAGCTTCTCTCAAGTAGACTGAATTGTTAGGAAGGTCAAAGATTGTGTCTTAAAATTTGGAAATGACTGAATCTTGCTAATGGGTGATTTTTTCCAATTACTGATTTTTAATGAAATGGAGGTATCCAGGTTTGATTAAGCTTAAAGAAATAGGAGATAACAAAGAAAAAAATTAAAAGCAAGTTATAGTTAAAAATTATAGTTGGCTAAATCATACTTGATGAAATTTACCAGAAGTATTAAAACCCCCCCGCACAATATTTTAATATATCTCTGAATTTTATTAAATGTAATTATTTCCTTCCTTCTCCCCTCAGTTAATGATTTTCTTATTTATTCTAATCATAAATACAGCTTTTGGTAGATTTTTATCTCCTATGTAGCTATAAATGGGAAATTTGAATGGCTAATACTTCTTATGGCACAACCAAGTAATGGAAAATGGCAACGATTAAAAGAAATGTTAAATCTTCCATGGGTACTTTGGAAAGTTATCAAACTTATGAAGTACTTGCTTTTGGGAGCCCTTTAATTGAACAAGGCTTTATAAACGTTGAGTCATTATATTAACTATAGATAAATCATGTGATTTAGGAAACAAGCCACTGCAATTTTGAAAGACATTTATGATGTGTTGTTTGGCACAACAAAGAATCCAACATTAAATAGTTTGGAACATACCAATTTAAAAATAGTTTTGTGTGTTGTTCTTGTTTTTCACAAATCTGAGGGCTGGAGATTTGTGTTAATAAAGGCTGCTGTGACCATGAAATAGGCAGAATAACCGTGAAGATAAGAACATATGTTTGTTTTGGTTTGATAACAGGAGCTCTGTATAAAAGGTTCTCGGACTTTGCATTTAAAAAGCTCACTGGTGGAAGATGCTGCTAATGAGCTGATTAACATGTTACTTGACACTGAGATGCAGGTCAGAAAAGAAGGTAAGAGGTCCATTGTACCCACTGGTAAAACAAGGGGAAAAAATACAGGTAAGAAGATTGTATTGTAGCTCTGTGCTTATGTTTGTTTTGCATGCTGATAGTGTGTGTTGGGGGATGTTGTAGCTTAGCTGACGGAAGGGTCAATCAGTATCTAATGTCTAAAGACTTTTGTTTGAATTTGCCTGGACAGTGGATCATCTAACAGTCATCTGTCATCTGCAAAATAGGTCAGTATTATCAGTCTAACTTGCAGGTTGAAATGTTAATGCCATAGAAGCAGCTACTTGCAGCTTGCAGGCCTTGGTTAATTGCTGGACTTCATAGAGAAAGAATATAAGAAATAATACTTAAATCTTGGTGATAATCACGCCAGTTTTTACTGAGTAGAGAAGGTTCATAGGAGTAAAAGGACTGTTACATTGAGGTACAGATTACAAATTAGTATAATGTGCACTTCTGTAAAATTTAGCTGTATTTCAGACACCTGTGACATGTTGGTTTATTGTGTTTTCAAGTCCCTTAAGTCAATTTAACTAAATTTATGATGTTTTAGCAACAGAAGAGGAAAGACAATCAAAAAGCTTGACTTCCTCCCACAATTCTGGTGAGATATGGGCTGGACTGTCTCCTGCAGCAAAGAGGAAGAGAAAGGATTTAGAAATATTAGAAGAAGCAGCCAATGAACTGCTTTCCTACTTCAATCATTGCAATATCGACGCCCTTTTGAAAGTCACTCGTAACACTCTGGACACCATACGCAAGCGCATCCATGCATCTTCCATGATCAGCTTCTTAGGTGGCCATATTGCAGTACTTTGCTTTCTTAGCCTATAAAAAGAAATATGTAAATGTAATATCCCAGAACTACATTAAAAAAAGCGCCTCCTATGTAAAAGAGGGGAAAACAAAGGGAGTTTGAGTAAGCTGTCTTGTTAAATCACAATTGATAGCATGGTATATATCCAAAGGAATTTTTTTCCTCTGACGGTAGGAACATGTCGTTGCGATGATGGTTCTCTTAGGACTGACTGTACTGTTCTGAAGCTCGATAATGTATCTGGAGTTGGACTTGATAAGTGGTTACCTGTTTGACCTTGACTTTTACATAAAGCTGTATGAAAAAAATGATAGAGAAAGAGGTGTGTTCTCTTTCTCTTACTAATTGCCTTCAGATCTTCCTATACATTATGATGGAACCCTCTTTTTTGAAGAGATTTCTTGTTACATAATTTTAAGAAACAAAAATAAAGGCATTTGTATTTGGTCTCGATAGCATATAAGGCACACAATATTATGAGATTCTTAGGAGGTTTTGTGCCCTGTTTAATATGCTGACTGGGAGTAAGAGGTAGATAACATTTTCTGCTAAACAAAGTTTAGCTGCACAGAACAAATTGAAGAGAAGCTTCATGGAAAGAAATAGCTTGGCACTTAGTTTTCACTTGTGCTACTGTAGACTTCACCAATACCTCATGTAAATTACTCAGGAATCTTTTTTCTTTAAGAAATTACCCTCAGTATTCAACATTAGGATATACATATATAGATTTATATCATTACAATGCCTAGTTTCATGTCTTGAAAAAAGTGTGAACATCCTTTTTTTTTTCTTGTCTTTCATTTAGAAAATCACAATGCTTCTAAGCATCCTATAATTAGGACTAGTATTAACCTGTCTATTCCTAATATCATCATGACACCCTCTTTGGATGAGGTACAGCAGACGCTTAATAAAGCTGTAGATAGTATTGTGAAAGTAATGAAAGGAGTTGGACAGTGGAGTAAGGAGAGACTATCCAAGGTTTGTGTAATTAATAGCCTGGTTTGTGTAATTAATAGCCTTACTTAAAACTGATGTTTCAAAACTACTGCAAATATAAAAATTTTATTTCTTCCCCAGAAGAGAATGTTAGAGAGAAAAGTGGCTGTGCTGCGATGTGAGAGCAGAGACAGTGATTCTGATGATGGAATGAGAGAGACTGGAAAGAAAAACATCCATGGTAATGATAAACTCTGATATGACTCAATTTGAATGTTAGGTAAATGTGATATACACATAATATGTTAAATCATATTAAATAAAAAATGCATAAAAAGCAGTAGAACAAAGAGGTCATAGATTTTAAACCACCTGGGGGAAGAAATAGGATATAATAGCAATACAAGAGCTTCTCTTTGTAATTAGAATCCAGGCTTGCCTGAAGATACTTGTCTTGGTGTGGATTTGAGTAAGGGGATTTTTTGGTGCCTCTCAGAGAGTTGTCCTGCTTTGGGTTCTATCTGCAGTGTGTGAAAACCTGTTAGGGTGCCAGCTTGGGCAGTACAGTAGAAACTATGAATGAGTTTGGAAAACAATTATAGTTGTTATAGATCTTTCCTGATTTACCAGTGTGGTTTGTAACTTGGCACGTTCAAATGGCATCTTAAAACTTGTGCTGAAGTTCCTTTAAGAAGGGTAAGTTGAACTTAAACAAAACCTGGTATTGAATAGGAATATCTATATAAATTGCAGTATTGTTGGAGAGAGGATTGAATAGTCTGAAATTTCTAAAAGGATTTTAACTTAATCTGTTTTGTGATCAGACATGGAATGAAGTTATTGAAGGCATTAATTCAAGGAAATTTAAGATGGTATCTTTGGTTCCTGGGCTTATCTGAAATGGTTTAGAATCAAACTAAATTAATTGTTCTACTTTGTACTTCAGGTATTTCAAAAATATATTGAGTCTTTTCAGGTTAGCTCCCTCTTATACACTTAAAAGGTAGGAAAGTAATACTTGAAATGGTTAAGAAATTAAATTGTTGTTTCAAAACTAAGAATTTCTCTTGCCCAAGGTGAAATAAGAAATGATGGTAAGTTCAATCTTGTGAATATTTGCAGTTAATGGACCTTCCTTTTATCTTTCTTTCCTTTTGAGGTTTGGCTATGTTCGTATTCTTGGATTTAGTGATAATTTATATTTCAAATTGTCAATTGTGGTCTACCCCACATTATTTCAGAAGATAAAAGTATTTATGGATTTGCTTAATGCTGACATACCAGTAAATCACTTAGGTGAGCTGTACAGGATGAACCGTGGAGAGGGGTGAGAGAAAAGGAAAGAATGTATTTGAATGATTGGAGTGGAACTTGATCCAACTTTGCCAAAGTACATAGCTGAAGCAAGTTTCCTAAAATGGAGAGGTTTATGGATTTATGGCAATTATATTACCATTTTTGATTAGTAAGAACACTGAACTTTAAGAAGCACATTTATTGAAAAAATAGGTCATTAATTTTTGTCTGTAGGAATTTGCTTAACCTAAACAATATGTCTGTCCTAAAACTGCTTTTGTATTTGAATCTGCCTTTATAGATAGTGTGTCAGATGCAGCATCACTCAGTTTGTCTGATCCGGTGCAAAGCCAGAACTACTTCAAGAATGTTTCAGAAAATAAAGAAATTATTAAATTAGTATCTTTACTCAGCACTGCTATTAATTCTACAAAAAGGGTAAGACAATCAAGATGTTAATTTAATATCACTATCCAAGGGATATTAATGTACTACTTTTAGTAACTTTGGGTGATAAGGTAGGTGTTTAAAACAATGATTAAACATATGAATGACAAAGTGTAAGACGGTGGATGGAAAACATGCGGCTGCAAATTTGCAAATATACTTTGATATTGTAACATGGGTTAAATGTACTTCAATAATTTATGAGGTTTTGAATATTACATAAAGTAAAACTTCGGTCTAATTAAAAACATCTGCAATTGGTAAAACATCGTAAAAAACCTCTAGGTATAGTTGAGTTATGTGTATTTTATATAGAACTAGTAGTAATTTTACTCGTGTGTTACACAGTTTTATTCAGCTGGTCGCTGTTTAAACATCACTTCCTCCACGCTCAGGAGAAAGGTCCATGGAATGTGGAAAGAGGGACAGGCCACTTGGGAAGAATACAAGAATATGGTCAGAGCATGCAGGGATTCAATGAGGAAGGCCAAAGCCCACCTGGAATTGAATCTGGCAAGGGATGTCAAAAACAACAAGAAGGGCTTCTTCAACTACATCAATAGCAAAAGGAAGGCTAGGGACAATGTGGGGCCGCTGCTGAATGAGGCAGGTGTCCTGGTGAAGGAGGATGCAGGCAGAGCTACTGAATGCCTTCTTTGCTTCAGTCTTCAGTGCCAAGGCAGGCCCTCAGGAATCCCAGGCCATGGAAGTAACAGAAGAAGCCCACAGTGAGGATCACTTTCCCTTGATCGAGGAGGACTGCGTGAGGGATTGCTTAAGCGATCTGAATTCCCACAAATCCATGGGCCCCGATGGAATGCACCCACGAGTGCTGAGGGAGCTGGTGGATGTCATTGCTGAGCCACTCTCCATCATCTCTGGGAGGTCCTGGAAGACAGGAGAGGTGCCTGAGGACTGGAGAAAGGCCAATGTCACTCCAGCCTTCAAAAAGGACAAGAAGGAGGACTCAGGGAACTACAGGCC